TCTTTTTCAGCAAAAGTAGTTTTCTCAGTGTCCCAAAACATGCCATACCATGTGACCCTCCTGCCCCACCGCCCCGGAACCCCGCCCCGCTGTGCCGGGAGTTGGTGGGCCGAGGAGGACGCTGAGAGGAAGGTGGATCTCCTCTGAGGAAGAAAGCAAAGTCCAGGTTGGAGGAAATGTGAGAAAAGGACAGCGAGAGGCAGAAGGAGAGCATCCACTTAGAATCGCATGCAATGCCACTCTGCGCGGCGGGGGCGGGGCCCGGGTCACGATCGCGAGGTCACGGTCGCGGAGGCGGGGCACAATGCATTAGGGTTGCATTTTCCTAAAATGCCACTTATTAGTAATTTGACCTTGGGAGAGTTAATATTCTCATTGTCCCACCCACATACTTGACTAGGCTACTACATATGATATTTTTCTTCTGCAGACGCCTAGTGGAAATTCTCTTTTTTAATATATTAATGCAAATAATGTTTTTTTAAAGCAATGTAAGTTTCTTGACATTGCTTAGGAAATATCAGCAGTTACAATGGTTTAGTTTTTGTTTGTTTGTTTGTTTTCTGAGACACAGTCTCATTCTCTTACCCTGGCTAGAGTGCCATGGCAATAGCCTAGTTCACAGCAACCTCAAACTCCTGGGCTCAAGAGATCCTCCTGCCTCAGCCTCCCAGGTAGCTGGGACTACAGGCACGTGCCATCATGCCTGGCTAATTTTTTTCTATTTTTAGCTGTTTGGCTAATTTCTTTCTACTTTTAGTATAGATGGGGTCTCACTCTTGCTCAGGCTGGTCTCAAACTCCTGAGCTCAAGCAATCCTCCCCCCTCGGCCTCTGGAGTACTATGATTATAGGAGCAAGCCACTGTGCCCAGCCAATGGGTTAGTACTGTGTGAACTGAAGATAATAGGAAGAATATGATGTCTGAGTCATACCTACTTATTTACACTTTACCCTTTAAAATGGACTTGTGGGAGTTAGATTATCTTTGATCTATACAATATGAAATGTAAAACCAAGTGCCTAATGTTTAAAAAAAAAATGACCATTATACTCAAGGTGGTAAAGCATTTTATCTATGATAAGAATTTACTTTATGTTACCGCTTCACATAACTTACTGATCCAGGTTTTCTGTGGGTGTGTTCATTTGATTACACTGTTTGGTTATGGAGAATTTGTACCTGTTGTGCACAAAGCTGTAAGTTCCTTTCTAAAGGCTGACCAAAAGTACATTTATTCATTCCTTTCACAGGCTTCCACTGAGCAATTCTATGTGCCAGGCACTGTGCTGGGTGCTGGATATCCACAGAAAAAAGGAGAATGTATCATACATAAACAAAAGGTGGCTCTCTCCCAACATTAGTTGAGAAAGAGCTAAGATTACCCTCATTACAGTCATAAGGCCACTGTCACTCTCCAACCCTACTCCTGGGACAGTTCTATATGATCTCAACATCTTGATAGATCATCCATCTAAAACACCCAGGTCTCAAATCCTTGACCCCCTCACCTCCAGACAGCTTGTCCTCCACCTTAGCTCAGCTACACCCCTTGTGTCCCTGTTTCTCCTCTTATCCAGCTTTAGATTCCACAATCCATTATTTATTTATTTATTTTATTTTTTTTTTATTTTGGCATATTATGGGGGTACAGATTTTAAGGTTTCAATAAATGCCCATTTCCCCCCTCCCCCCAAAAGTCTGAGTCTCCATCATGACCATCCCCCAGATGGTGCACATCTCACTCATTATGTATGTATATACCCGCCCCCCTCCCCCCTCCCACCTCCCCAATACCCTATTACTGTAGCACCTATGTGTCCACTTAGGTGCTACTCAGTTAATACCAGTTTGCTGGCACAATCCATTATTAAGATCACTCCTTTGAATAGCCCCTTGGTTCCCTTGCCCCTCTAACACTTCATTGTACTTTTCAAAGCACAAGCTTTACTTAAATCTAAGCTCAACCTATGCCTGTACAAGTGCAGCAGCTGAACATGGCTGGAAAAAATCACACAGCTATAGTGAGAGCTAACTGCTCTCACTTCAAATTTATAACCACTCCCCTTGAAAAGACCTTCAATGTTATGCATTGATCTTAATTACCCCAGCACAGTCACTAACCCATTCTCACAGATGGCCATTCCATACCATCCCCTCTCTCTTCACGCTTCCCATAACACCTCCCCCATCCTCAGATTTTGCTGAAAACTATGTCCCCTAGCTCACTAGGATAATAAAAGCAGTATGAAGAGAATTTCCACAAACCCCCAGCACATGATCTACCCACCTCCCTGCATCTGTGCTCATATACAATGTCTTCCCTCCAACTGAAATAGGAGTTTGTACTCCTATTTTAGACCAACTCCTCCCTTTTCTCCTCCCTTACACCATTGAGAGTTGCCCACCCTCCTTGTCTCTAATTCCTTTCTTCTCATCAGATTTTCATGCTCAAGACCCCACAGAATGTCCTTTTATTAAGATCATTAATTTCATCCATGTTGCTGTATCCAATGGTCAATATGCAGTCTCTGTCCTTCTTAATCTTTCTGAAGATTTGGCCACAGTATACTGCACCTTTCTCCTTGAAACCCTTTCTTTTTTTGGCTTCCAGGATACCGCATTCACCTTGTTTTCCACCTACCTTGCTGGTGACTCCTTCTTGGTTTCCTTTGTCCTCTTCTCCATCATCTCACTCTTCCTGAGCACTCTCATCCAGCCTTGTCCATACCGTCTCTATGTTGATGACCCTCAAATGTTTATCTTCAGCCTAAACCTCTCCTTGAACTCTAGATTTATATACCCAACTACCTGCCTGGATGTCCAATAGGCATCTTGAACTTGACATCTCCAAAATTCAACTCCTGATTTCCACCCCAAAACCTAATTCTTCCCATTTCATAAAATGGCACCATATCCTTTAGTCAGCCTTAACTCCTCTGTTACTAACATCCCCACATCTGATCCATCCATGAATTATTTGACTCTACCTCTAAAATGTATGTTTCAACACATATTTTAGAATCTATTACCACTTCCACTGCTACCACCCTGATCCAAGCCACCTTGGTTTCTTGCCCAGCCTCCTAGCTGAGCTCCCAGCTTCTGCCCTGACACTGTTTTAGTTTATTCCCCTCATGGTATCCAGAATGATCTTTTAGAATATACGTCCTTCCTATATTCATACCCTCCAATAGCTTCCCATTTTTCCCTAAGTAGGAACCAAAGTCCCCTAATGCACTGCTACACAATTGTCCCACCCACCTGCTATTAGTCCTCACATTCTCTTTTATTTTTCTCCCCCCTTAATCTGGCCAGTCACACCACTTTCCTTGTGATTCCTGGCTTAGCATCTCAGCACTTGCTGTTCTCTGCCTGGAATGATCTTTCCTCAGACATTTTCTTTTTTTTCCCCTCACCTCCTTCAGGTCCTTGCCCAAATATTACTTTACCTGAGGTCTCTATCTAAAATCAGAGGCGTCATGCCCATCTGCAATCTCTATTGTCTTCTCTCCTTATTCTTCTTCACAGCACTTTCCATATCTGATACACTACACGGTTTGTCTGTCTGTCCCTGTCCCCCACCCAACAGAATGCAGGCTTTATGAAGAGCAGCGAATTTTGTCTCTTTTACCCACTGCTGTTTCCAGTGCCTAAAGCAGAGCCTGATGTATAATGGGCACCTGACAAGTATCTTTGGAATTCACTGCATGAAGGAGATCATGATGGAGAATAGAGAGACACCAGCACCTTAAAGATGCTTAATGGCATGTCGAGGGATTTGGACTTCGTCTGTAATCAGTTCCACTGTGGTGTTTTCATCAGGGAAGTGATAAGGATCAGATCATACTAGATAGATCCCTCTAGCAGCAGGAGAGAGTGAAGGCTGGTGGCGGTAGGACTGGAGACAAGGGAATATTTTAGGAGGGCTGTTGGCAGAAATTCAAGCAAGAAAAATTGAAAACCAGAGCAAAGACAATAGCTGTTGATATAGAGAGGAGGGGACAAATCTGACAGCTATTTAGAGTTGGAATACACAGACGTGGGTGATCACTGTGATCACCAGAGGATATACTGGTGCTTCAACTTTTATCTCTCTGCACAACTTTTATATCTCTGCTCATCAGAAGAAGAGAAATCTCTGCTTTCTGCCAGAAACAGGAAGGGAAGAAGGGCAACACAATTGAAATCAAGACAGGTAAGCAGCACAGGTTCTTGTCATTTTTACCAATGCCAAAGCCTTCGGGGACTCAGCTGACGGTAATCAGCAAAGATTATCCTAGAACTCAAACAGCTAACTTCCTGCCTGTGCTCTCTTCCAAGGCCTGGGAAATGAGCCAGCAGCTGAGTTAGAAAAAAGTATTATTATTCAATAATAATTATCACTTTTTAATTGTTATTATTGTCATAATATTGCCTTAGAGGTTTATAGACATTAATCCTAACATTCACCCCAAAGCTATAAAGTAGATATTGTTACCCTTATTTTTTACCCTGATATTCTAGGACTCAAAGATCTCTGACTTGAAAGGCTGTAGCTTCTATACTACACCACAGTTTACATTTATTCATGTGCACCTACTGTTTAGACCCATGACAACCATGTAAGTAGCTCAGAGTGGGTATGTGATTTGCTCAAAGGCACTCAGCTAGGAAGAAGTTGTAATCTTTAATGACTTATTTCTTTTTTTCTTAAGGGGGATTTTTCCCTATACCCCAAACAAATACCAATGCGTTTATGCCCTCCCAGAAAATATTTATTTCCTCTTGCAAGGAGGGTGAAGATGTTGATTATGACACAGAGGCTGAGAAATGTTCTCTCACTAGAGCCAGGGTGGGGCGAGCAGTCAAGTGCAATGCACAGTAACCTGACATATTCTCCTCAGACATGAGAATAAGATCTAAGAGTCAGGTTTAAGATCTTGTGGGCATTCTAGTTATAACTGTCTTGAGATTTCCCCATCGTCAACCTCATCTCCTAGTTCTCCAAGGGTCTCTTTTTTTTTCCCCCACTCCGCCCTGAGGGAGTTGACCTTCACAGCTGTCTTCCAGAAGTCAACATTCCAGGATATCTCCTGGTCAGGGAGGGATCACTTCCTCCTTTGCTTCTCCTGCCTACTGCGCGAGTAGTCTCCACACCCCTGAAGACCCCTGGGTGTAAGAGCTGCTAATGTCACAGCTTCCTGGGAGCGAGTGCTTTCTCAAGCCCATCTTTGCAAGGTGGGTCTTTTTTCTTTCTTTTTTTTTGGCAAAATGGGGAGGACAGTGAAATATGTTCTGATTAGAGACAGTTATGCAAAATCCAGCAGGAGGAGGAAGGCAAGAAGGAAGTTGGTGAGTCAGAGGAGAAAAGTGCAGCCAGGCTAGCAGGGAGCCTCTCAAACACAGCAGGGAAGCCTAAGCCTTAACAAGGTAAGAAGAGAATTTTTCTGGGTACACCTCCAGAGGAGACCATTATCCCCAGGCTGCTGGAGCAAGAGTATCAGATAACCTCTGACAGCTAAACTAGGGGTTTCCATAGCAAAGGGGTTATTAAAGGGGGGAAGAGTCAGATCACCTGGGAAATCTTTGCAAAAAACACAAGCTTATCAGTGGCATCCCCCAACCCACACGGCTCTATTTCTGAATGGGTCCAAAAGAGCCTGGAACAGGGATAGGACTGTACTGATGTATATTTTATAGACAGTCTCTGGTGTATCTGATTTGTTCAGATCCTGGCCTCGGAGCTCAAGTCTCCATATTTGATGCAGCTGCTACTCTGTTCTTTGCTGGGGAGTGGAAGACAGGAGTTGCAATAAGCTGCACATTTTCTCTAGCTCAGGGGACTTGTAGTATGATCACTGAAAACTCTCGGACGTGGGACCTAATCCAGGCAGGGCTGTTATACCCAATACGTCAATCAATTAAGGTTCTGAGAAATGAATGAATGGCTCATCACGGTCCTAAATATCTAACTGGATAGTTGGGGGTTTTTTTGTTTTTTGTTTTTATGTGTCTCTGTACTTTTTATTTATTTATTTTTTCAGAATCTCTTTTTTTTTTTATTTTAGCGTATTATGGGGGTACAAGTGTTAAGGTTACTTATATTGCCCATGCCCCCCACGCCCCTCGAGTAAGAGCTTCAAGCATGTCCATCCCCCAAACGTTGCACATCTTACTCGTTGTGGTTGTATATACCCATCCCTTCCTCCACCCTCCCACCACTCGATAAATGTTACTCCTATATGTCCACTTAGGTGTTGATCCCTTAATACCAATTGGCTGGTGAGTACATGTGGTGCTGGTTTTTCCCTTCTTGAAATACTTCACTTAGTAGAATGAGTTCCAGCTGTATCCAGGAATATAAAAGAGGTGCTATATCACCATTGTTTCTTACAGCTGAGTAGTATTCCATGGTATACATATACCACATTTTCTTAATCCACTCATGAATTGATGGGCACTAGGGTTGTTTTCACAGTTGCCAATTGTCGCAATTGTGATTATGCTACTATAAATATTCGGGTGCAGGTGTCTTTTTCGTAAAGTGACTTTTGATCTTTTGGGTAGATGCCCAGTAGTGGAATTGCTGGATCAAATGGTAGATCTACTTGTATCGCTTTGAGGTATCTCCATATTGTTTTCCACAGAGGTTGAACTAGTTTGCAGTCCCACCAGCAGTGTAGGAGTGTTCCTCTCTCTCCGCATCCATGCCAGCATTTGTTGTTTGGGGACTTTTTGATAAAGGCCATTCTCACTGAAGTGATATCTCATTGTGGTTTTGATTTGCATTTCCCTGATATTAGAGATGTTGACCATTTTTTCATATGTTTGTTGGCCATTATTCTGTCGTCTTTTGAGAAGTTTCTGTTCATGTCCTTTTCCAATTTTTTGATAGGGTTGTTTGTTTTTTTTTCTTGCTGATTTTCCTGAGTTCTAAATAGATTCTAGTGATCAGCCCTTTATCAGATGTGTAGCTTGCAAAAATTTTCTCCCATTCTATGGGTGGTCTGTTTGCTCTCTTGACAGTTTCTTTGGCTGTGCAGAAGATTTTTAATTTCATCAGGTCCCATTTGTTTATTTTTATTGCTGTTGTGATTGCCTTTGGGGTCTTCTTCATAAATTCTTTGCCTAAGCCAATGTCTAGAAGAGTATTTCCAATGTTTTCCTCTAGAATTCTAATAGTTTTCACACCTAAGGTTCAAGTCTGTTACCCAGCATGAGTTGATTTTTGTGACAGGTGAAAGGTGTGGGTCTTGTTTCAGTCTTCTACATGTGGCTATCCAGTTTTCCCAGCACCATTTATTGAATAAGGATTCTTTTCTCCAGTGTATGTTTTTGTCTGCTTTGTGGAAGATTAGTTGGCTATATGAGGATGGTTTTATATCTGGATTCTCTGTTCTGTTCCACTGGTCAATGTCCCTGTTTTTGTGCCAGTAAAAAGCTGTTTTAATGACTATCGCCTTGTAGTATAGTTTGAAGTCTGGTAAATTGGTACCTCCTATTTTGTTTTTATTGCCTAGGATTGATTTTGCTATACGGGGTCTTCTCTGGTTCCATACGAAGCATAAAATTATTTTTTCTATATCTGTGAATAATGAAGATGGTATTTTGATAGGGATTGCGTTGACTCTGTAGGTCACTTTGGGTAGTATAGAGATTTTAACAATGTTGATTCTGCCAACCCACGAGTATGGTATATTCTTCCATCTGTTTACATCCACTGCTATTTCCTTCTTCAGTGTTTCATAGTTCTCCCTATAGAGGTCTTTTACCTCCTTAGTTAAATATATTCCAAGGTACTTTATTTTCTTTGTTGCTATTTTGAAGGGAATTGAGTCTTTGATTTGGTTCTCACTTGAACTGTTGTTGCCGTATATGAATGCCTCTGATTTCTGTGTATTGATTTTGTATCCTGAGACTTTGCCAAATTCACTTATCAGATCAAGGAGTCTCTTGGTTGAATCCTTGGGGTTTTCTAGGTATAATATCATGTCATCAGCAAAGAGTGAGAGTTTGATCTCTTCTGCTCCCATTTGGACGCCCTTAATTCCTCTCTCTTGTCTGATTGCTGTAGCGAGGACTTCCAGCACTATGTTGAACAGAAATGGAGATAGATAGTGGGCAGCCTTGTCTTGTTCCAGTTCTAAGTGGGAATGCTTTCAATTTTTCCCCATTCAGTATGATATTGGCCATGGGTTTGTCATATATGGCTTGTATCATTTTTAGTAACTGGATAGTTTTCATGACTGCCCTTAAAGGGGCTTTGAAAGTGTGGAACATCACGCAGATGTAAAATATGATTAAGTTATGGGGCCAGTGTAACAGCTAAGGTAGAGGAGACCTCTATTTTGTTTGGCCTCAGACTAGTTTGGACTTCTAAGTAGAACTGAAATTATTTTATATGTGTAAGATAAAAATAATATCTTGCACAATCTTCCTTTCTGGGCCAACAAGGGTACTTCACACAGTAAAAAACGCTCTACAAAAGTTTGTTCACATGGCATTTGTTGCTCTATGTTTCTTGAGCATCTACTATGTGCCAGGCACTGTCCTTGGCACTAGAGACACAGCACTGGCAAGGACCCTGGTCCAGTCCTCCTGGCCCTCTCAGTCTAGTTAGAGTTTGTTATGTGGACATCTTTGCCCAGGTGCTTCACTCCCCAGGTTTCCCAGGTCTATGGGCCAGGGCCTCAGGAGCCTCTGCCTATACTACTGATTATAGTCTTTGCAGAGATAAGCTTTGCCCAAGGCATACCCTAAAGTATTCCCTGGCTGTCTGGTCAGCCCCATTACGTGTTGCCTAGTCCAGGAATCCTACAGCCCAGTGGCAAGGGATAGGACTTGCTTTATAAGAGCATACTTTTTCTAGCTGGGAAAGTGCTCATGGTAAGAAAAAGAAGCCAGAGGGTTTCCATGGGAATTCCTGAGAACTGTGGACAGCTAAAGCCTGAGAACAACTGGAGGGGGGACAGATTTAGGAGACCCAGCTCCAGCTTGGAGAGGGAATGGACTTGAGGCCAGAAGCAGTTGCCAGGCTAGGAGGGCACAGAGCAATGGAGACCTGCACAGGACATAGAATTGGCTGAAAGCCAGAAGGAGGGAGGAAAAGAGGGTGGGGGGGACTTTGAAAGGTCTACTTTCCTAATCCCTAGGAAATGTTACCTTTTTCCTGAAGTAATTATAGGCCCTGTTTATAAAATTCTATCACTGTTTCCTTATAATTGTACACAGGCTAAGTTCTTCTCTTATTTTCCTGTCTCTTTTGCTCCATTGCTTTCTACCTTTGTTTCAAACTTTTTCCCATATTTACATTGCCCTTAGGAAAAGTTCTCTTACCTAACTCATCTCTTCAGTCTTTGAGGGAGGGTTGGAGGATATCCTTGGGCCGTTATCAAGAATAGCCTAGTTTCTAATCATTTCCTCTTGGGTTCAAATTTTAAGAACTAGGATCATATCTTAGCTGGTCTTGTTCTAATCTACAGAGCCAAGACTACAAGGCAGGAATTACCACTCATTGACATTTCCCTGCCACACACTGAAGTAGTTCTTGGCCAAAAAGGAGAGATGATCCTTACTGTATCTTCTTGGCACATCCAGAGGAAAGCTTTGTTGTTACAAATGGAAGAGAGGGGTTTTTCTGCTACTGCCACCCAAGGTTTGGCTTGAGTCATGATATACTTCCCAGAAGGTCCAGGGGACTTCCAGAGAAAGATCATGAGCTGGCAAAGCATGCTCTACCTTGTCAGCCAGAAAGCTGTCAGCTCAGAGTCACATCTGTGGCTGACCAATTTCTCCCCTGAAATCCACTCTCTAATACCTCTGGAGCTCTGAACATAGAAAATGGTCTATGACTAGTGTGGAGGCTGCCTGGGCAACAGATACCAAAGTTACACATGCACACACTCTTTGACTCAGCAATTCCACTTCTGGGCATTTAGCTTACATACATGTGCAATAATGTGTGAACATAAAGGTCATTATTGAAGTCTTTGAAATGGCAAAAGATTGGAAACAATCCAAAAGCCTATCAATGAGAAAACTGGTTGAATTGTGGTATATTGATACAATAATTCTTTGAAGTAAAAAGAAATGAGGAAATGCTTTATGTAATGCCCTGGAAAGGTTCCCAAGACACATTGACAGGTTTAAAAAAAAAAAAAAAAAAACAAGGGTGCAACATGGTATGGATAACTTGCTTTTTCTGTGTGTTTTAAGGTGGGAAAAAATTAAGAATACATATATACTTGAATTTTCTTATATATGTATAAAGCATAAAGCAACTGAAATGACACATAAAAAAATGAACTCAGTTGCTATCTGGGACAAGTTGAGAAATGGGCAGATGGAGGACAGGTGTTGAAGGTAGACTTTTCACACTATACTGAAGATAAAACACCAGCTAGTAGTTAAATACTGGCTGTTAGTAAATAGAAAAGAGGTTACTGATTTAGCAGCAAGAGAAATCCTTAGGTTTTCCCCTGGAAAAAAATACTGTGACTCCTTTAAAAATATGTCATTAACCCTGTTTACAAAGAGCTCTGTAAGTTTTCTCACTTCTGACTACAGGCCCTTAATAGACACAACTGGTTGTCATAAAATTTCCCCTTCCCTGTGATAGATGTTAAAGACCTGGGATGTGTAAGTCTGGGCTGCAGGCTGGCAAACACTCCTCCATTTTCCTTCCTGCATGTGGAATCTTAGGAAAGCCTTATTTTATTTTGCTTTTATTTGTGTACTTTTTTTTTGAGACAGGGTCTTGCTCTGTTGCCCAGGCTGGAATGCAGTGGCATCCATAGCTCACTGCAGCCTCAAACTCCTGGGCTCAAGTGATTTCCTGCCTCAGCCTCCCAAGTAGCTGGGACTACGGTTGTGTGCCATCATACCTGGCTAACTTTTCTATTTTTTGTAGAGATGGGGTCTCACTCTTGCTCAGGCCAGTCTCGAACTCCTGGTATCAAGCAATCCTCCCACCTTGCCCTCCCAAAGTGCTAGGATTATAGGCGTGAGCCACTGCACCCAGCCCAGAAAGCCTGATTTTAAATTCCAAGACCATAGACACTTTTCAAAACAATTTGAACCATGTGACTAGTATCTATTAAAAACTTTTTTAAAAAATTGGTGATAAGACTTGCCACCAGGAAAATAGCAGCTCCGATTAATGTCTGGAAATATTGTCTCTCTTTTTTTTTTTAAAAGATGGGACAGAGACTTTCTTGGGTACATAGTAATATATAAATTAGCACCTTACTACTATTAATATTTAGACTATATGTAATAGCTATTATGTCTCTCAACAGTTATGTCAGGAAGTCACTCAAAATGATTCACAGTCATGTGAGAAGAAGGGTTAACATTTATTTTGGAATAATATTCCAGCATGGCACTGGGAGCTGTATGTAGTCTTTTCACACAAAGCAAGTCCTGACTATGAAGGGAGTTAAGTTCAGGGTTGCCACCAGTCAGTATGAGTCTTAGTGTGGATTACAAAGTGGAACGCCTTTCTCTAGATATTTAACATTTAACAAACTGGAAAACCATCCTAATATACCTATTTTGTTGGACCAAGATACTTTACTGTCACCTACGGAATGTTTTTTATAATAAATATCTAAATTCTTCATGAGATGGCATTGCCTAGGGTTGTGTAATACACAACTTGCCCAACCATACTGAGCAGCCCTGAGTAAGTTGTGCAGTGGCCAAGCATTCCTCAAGAAGCAGCACAGCAGCCAACAGGCCACAAGTGTCATTACTGATAGTGATGTAGCTCTGAGGCCTGAAGCTCCTAGGTGGGCTGGCCACCCTCAAGTAGAGTCACCAGGTAAGGAGACAATGATTCAGCTCAAATAGACTCCAGTAGTTTGTGATATACACAGACACAGGCCAGCATTGGATCAGCTCCCCATGTTCCTAGTCCCACAGGATTAGACCAAACCAGAGGAACCAGATGACAGGTGCCATGACTATGCCACTTGGCTGTGTTTTATAGCCTGCAGCCCTATCCTTGGGGGAACTGAAGTGGAAAGCCCTGTGCTTAATTGCAATGGGGGAAGGGGATAAGAAATGGCCTTGAGGTAGTCTCTGTCAAGATGGGGGGTGCTGTAAGCAATGGCCTCCAGGCAGTTCCTCAGTAGGTAGCTTATCTCCCTTAGTTTCTGGAGGAATCACAAGGCATTCAACCAAGACTTGAATGAGACTAAAGTTAACCTCTGTTGACATGGCCTTTGTGCATTCATGATCATCATCAGAGTGCCATGGTGAAGCCATTCCCGCATGTTGATTAAATATGGCTGAGTCCAATGGACAAGAAAGACCAGGAGGGAGGAATGAAAGCCCCTAAAATAAATAGAACTTATTGACACCCTAACTGTAAGGGACAGGAACTGAACTGGAGAGGGATGTGTGCAGTTGGTTGCAGGAATGTTCAGACTTTCTATCTTGCTCCCTGGTGGAGGTCAGGGGGAAGGTAGCTTTGTCTAGAAAGGGAATGGAAGGCAGACACTACAACAGCAGCCTAACTCAGCCTCTTCTGCTTGTTCCTTATAGGTCATCTACTTTGGCACAATGATAGTTCTCAAAAAAGTGAAGCTACTGCTGCTCCTGCTTTTCCAGTTAGTGATCTTCGCTCTGTTCTTCCATACGTACATCCACAGTGTCGGCTCCCTGTCCAGGAAGGAGGAGCCCAAGCACATGCACGTGCTGGTCCTGTCTTCATGGCGCTCTGGCTCTTCTTTTGTGGGGCAGATTTTTGGGCAGCACCCAGATGTATTCTACCTGATGGAGCCTGCCTGGCACGTGTGGATGTCTTTCACAGATAGCACCGCCCAGAGACTGCACATGGCCGTGCGGGACCTGATACGGTCAGTCTTTCTGTGTGACATGAGTGTCTTTGATGCCTACATGCAACCTGGACCCCGGAGACAGTCCAGCCTCTTCCAGTGGGGTGACAGCCGAGCCCTGTGTTCTCCGCCTGCCTGCAACATCTTCCCACGGGACAAGATCATCCCACAGGCTCACTGCAAAATCCTGTGCAATCAACAGCCCTTTGAGGTGGTGGAGGAGGCCTGCCACTCCTACAGCCATGTGGTGCTCAAGGAGGTGCGCCTCTTCAACCTGCATTCCCTCTACCCACTGCTGACAGACCCTTCCCTCAACCTACACATCGTGCACCTGGTCCGGGACCCCCGTGCTGTGTTCTGTTCCCGAGAGCGCACCCAGGGGGAGCTCATGATTGACAGTCGCATTGTGCTGGGGCAGAGCTGGCACAAACTCAAGAAGGAGGACCAGCCCTACCACGTGATGCAGGTCATCTGCCAAAGCCAGCTGGAGATCTACAAAGCCATCCAGTCCTTGCCGGAAGCCCTACAGCAACGCTACCTGCTCATGCGCTATGAGGACCTTGTCCGGGCCCCTCTGACCCAGACGTCCCGAATGTATGAATACGTGCGGTTGAAATTCTTGCCCCATCTCCAGACCTGGGTGCATAATATCACCCGAGGCAAGGGCATGGGTCAGCATGCCTTCCACACAAATGCCAGGAATGCCCTCAACGTCTCCCAGGCTTGGCGCTGGACCTTGCCTTTTGGAAAGGTTTCTCGACTTCAAAAAATCTGTGGGGATGCTATGAATTTGCTGGGCTACCGCCACGTCAGCTCTGAACAAGAGCAGAGAAACCTGTCATTGGATCTTCTGTCTACCTGGACCCTCTTTAAGCAAAACCACCAGACGGGCTGAGGAGGTACCAGCCTCAGCCACCTTCACCGAATGCTTTCGAGCCTTAACTTTGTCTCTGTTGAGCATGAGTTGTGCCCACACACACTCAAGCAGAAGAATCTTTGTGTCTATACTCAGGCCTAGGAAAGAGACTCAGGAACCTCATGTGGGCAGCACATCCCTGCAATGCGACAGAGGTGTACTGCCTTTCTCCTCTCCTTGAGTTCCTATCTGTGCCTACTTGGGAGACTTTGTGGCCTGGAGGCCTGTTGGGCCCCAAGCAGTATCAGTGGAGTAAATCCATAGATCTCCCTGTCCACATCTCGCCCAACGGGAAAGTGGAGAGACAGTAAAACACAGGGAAATGCATCTGTCACCAAAGAGCTCCCCAGCACATTCCACAGAGCCCTCAGAGCCCTCAGAGTCCCTAGTGGATTCAAGGAAGGAAGGGACACAGGGCTGGCTGCTTACCTATGAGGCTGCCCATTACAGCTACAGGTTATCACAAACAGACACAAAACAATCTCTGGACAGCAGAACCAGCTCTGAAGATCATGGGCCTGATTTGAACATCATTTCCCCTCAGCATTTTCCTATCACATAGAAGACTTTGACCTCTGAGGCTGCTGTCCATGAATATTAAAATTCCAAAATAAGATTCTGTTTGGAATGTCCCCTTTTGTGATTTCTCATTACTAGGAGTAAACACTTATGGGATCCAAACCTAAGAACTCATACAGTCATCTTTATGGACGTTTTATACCTTTGCTATTATCTATTACCTGCATATAAAATAATTGCTAAGACAATGTTTGGTGTCAGGTGATGAACTGTCTATATCCTCTTAAGAATTGGTAGAAAGTAGACAACCAGCAACTCATTCCTTTGTTGTGTGAGGCATAAATTGTAATAATGCCGTATGCATCACCCTAGGGTGTGGGCAGAACTCCTGTACTCTGAGCCCTCAGTCAGAGAACCTCAGTTCTAGTGTGACTGGTGCTATTTACCTCCTAATCACCTCCCTTAGTAAGAAAAGCTGTTTCTCCCAGTCTTGGCAGGAGCCCCTCACCTAGTTGTACAACAGAATCATCTGTTAAAACTGCACATTGCCATGCGCTAGCGCAAATCTGCTACAATCAGAATCTCCCAGTGTGGGGGCTGGGATTCTGTATGTTCATCAAGCTACCCTCAGCCTGCACCGGGCAGCAACACCATTCACCTTCTTGCTCCAAGACAGGTGACTTTTCAGCACATGCAGAGTATGTATGCCACTTCTTCCACCTGTGCTGTCCTCAGGTTGGAAAGAATCGGAAAAAGGTCCATATATGTCTGGAACTCTGTGGAACTCTGAGTCCTGACTTTTTTAATATCTCAATTTTTAATATCTTTAATATCTCTTTGTCCATACCTGAGAGATTCTGTCAGTTCCTCTTTCCTTTTTTCCCCCACCTTTTGGCATGCTTCTCCATAAAACTTTCTTGATGTCAGATCAGAATTCCCCCACTCAATTCTGCAGAGGAGAGCCAGAACTCCTCCACCATCTGAGATACTTGAGTGGCTACCTTTCCCAGCAGGGTCAGCTGAAGTTCATTTACATGTGACTTTAAAGGAGCTAATTTGTTCTAACATCCAAACCCAAGCCATTCTAGGAACTCCTCCAGAACGTAGGATCTCCCAGGTGATTGCTTGCTTCTACTAACTTTCCAAAACAATGTGACAGTAAAATTCCCCCAGCATTGAAAATAAGGCTGGAGCAGCAGATGATGGTGTGACTGAGGGATCAGAGATAGACTCAACCATCTCTGCCTCTGCCTGAATTGTTTTAAAGTTAGCAACCTCCTTAGGAACCATCTCTATGTAATGCCTGCTTGGGTCTTTCTCCAAAATAAGACAAGAAAAGAGACTAGCCACATGGAAGTCTTGGAACCTTATTTAGGAGCCACTTTACAACAGATTTAAGTTTCCTTTATTCCAAGTCCTAGATGCCCAAGGAAGCCCCACATCCAGGAACCACACTCTTGAAGGAGAGTCTGTCTGTGCTCGCCAATGGAATAGCCACTAGCCACCGGTAGCTGTTTAGATTTAAATTAATTAAAATTAAATAAAAATTAAGTTCCTCAGTCACACTAGCCACATTTCAAGTGCTCAGTGGCCATGTGTGCCTGGCAGCTACTGTATTGGATGGCCACAATTGCAAAAGTTCTATTGGACAGCTCTGGTCTAATTCATTTTTATTTGTGTAACATCTTATCCCTAACTTCAACCCACCCCCACAACCCCCAAAAAGTTTAAAGAATATATAACAATACTATCATGACATTTTTATACAACATAAGACTGTGTAGCACAAAATCATGCTATATGACCTTTTTAAAAATCTGACCCAGTGTTTAACAAGACTTTAGTGAACAATAGCACAGTTTTTGACAAGTAATATGTTCAGGTGGCTGGCGCTGGAATTCAGGATGAGCTGACAGTACAATCAATTGCAGGACATGGGGAGTTTGGGGAACTGAGAACCACTGTAGAAGATGGTGTTCTGGCTAGACATCCTTTCTGATTTGGAGACATCTGTTCCATCTCCAAGCTCCAGAAATAAAAAGGCATTTATTTGCCTCCTTAGCCTCTTTAGTTGCAAAGGGACGAAGAATAACTTTAGTATCTTAGATTATGGATGAATTTGATCTAAATTTCTCAGGGCTGATGAGTTCTCTCAAGTCTAGAGTAAACATAGCCTGAAATGCCTAATTGCATGTCAGCAATTGCTGTCTTTACAAAAAGCCAAACTCAAAGCCCTGGGCACTACTCAAAGCCCTATAGTTTTGGAAGGGTGCAAAGAAAAGGGTCCCAAAATTTCAAAATAAATTTTTTGGAGGGTGAGAAAGAAATAGTTTTGAAACAAAGGGACTTCAACTGTAACTTAACTGTGTTTCTATTTATGGTTACCAAGTGGCTTCATTTTGTATATAATGAGACAAAATGCTAAGTTTTGATACATTTCAATTAAAACTGTATTCTTTTTCAACTTGTGAAAAGTGGTTAGGGAGAGGTAGAATCAACTTCTAATCATTTTGGCACAAAAATGTGCCACTGTATTTTCTGTAATATGCTTCTCAAAAAATAGTTTATAATTTACTATGTGATTTAAAGCCAAGCTAAATATAAATTAATTTCACTGACTATAATCATGATTCTTTTGACTTACTTTCACAGACCAACAAAGCAAAATTAAAAATGAACGTTATGAGCACCTCAGGCCAGTTAACAATAAGCCTCTGATAGGCATTAGTCAGGGATCTCCAGTAATTTGATCCCTCTATCGAGGGCTATGCCCTTCTACCGCTTAAACGTCCCTGGTCATTCAGAGAAAGGTTAACTTTCAGATGCAGTATTGAGGAAAATGAGAAACCAAGACCAGAGTAAGGAGATTAGACTCTAGCATGCAGCTAAAGGGCATCTTCATTCATTCCACACATTTAATGGGCATCTACTATATACCAAAGAATGTTCTAGATGCTACGGATACAGCTGTGAATACAACAGGCAAAGCCCCTCCTTTCATACAAAAGACATTTTAGTCTGTTGGGAGGAGGGAGCAAACAACGAACATATGTCAGATGTACTATTAATATAAGGAAGAATAAAGCAGAGGAAGGGACTTGGGGGTGAAGGAGGATGCTGTTCTACAGAGGTGACAAGAGATGCTTTGCCTGAGAAAGTGAGACTGGAGCAGGGACCCTTGAAGTAGGGAGTGTGCCATGCGGAAGTCTGGGGACAGAGTGCCCCAGTAAATGCCAGTGTCAATATGGACAGAATCAATAAGGGAGAACCTACTGCATGCTTGGGTTAATAATAAGGAAGTAGTACAGACATTACAGTAAGGACAGCATGACAGGTCACGCGCTCATAAGAGCTTGGGCACTAGAACTGTGCTGCCTGGGTGGCTCTGCTATTACCAGCGAGGGAACCTCAGGCAAGTTCCTCAACATCTTCATGTCTCAGTTCCCTTAAGTTATCTGTGGGCCGGGCACGGCCCTGTGGCTCACGCCTGTAATCCTAGCACTCTGGGAGGCCGAGGCGGGTGGATTGCTTGAGGCCAGGAGTTCGAAACCAGCCTGAGCAAGAATGAGACCCCATCTCTACAATAAATAGAAAGAAATTAATTGGCCAACTAATATATAGAGAAAAAAAATTTGCCGGGCATGGTGGCGCATGCCTGTATTCCCAGCTACTCAGAGGCTGAGGCAGGAGGATCACTTGAGCCCAGGAGTTTGAGGTTGCTGTAAGCTAGGCTGACGCCATGGCACTCACTCTAGCCTGGGCAACAAAGTGAGACTCTGTCTCAAAAAAAATAAAATAAAATAAATAATAAAAATAAAAAAAGTTATCTGTGAATGTCATCATAACGAGGCATGTCCACCATTTCTGATTGCATACCCTTTATGGCATTTCTGATCATATTGATATGATTAGGAGATTGATCCTTTCTGATCTTCTAGGTTCTTTACATCAGTGGTTCTCAATCAGAGGCAATTTTGTCCGTCGGGGAACATTGGCAATGTCTAGAAACTTTTTATATTTTATTTTTAATTGCTAAATATTGCATATATTTCCCTAGAGACATTTTTGATCGTCACAGCTGGGGAGTAGAGGGTGTGATGCTACTGGCATCTATACATCCTACAGGACAATTTCCTACAACAAAGAATTCTCTGGTCTGAAATGTCAGTAGTGCGGCTGTTGAGAAACCCTACTCTACATCAGCCAGGGATAAGGGTACAGAGTTGGTGATTCAGATGGATTTCTCTTCCATCTCATTCAGTCTCCTTCAAATGAGTGTGCCACCAGCCCAAACGTCCTGAATGGGGAGATGTCATAACCAGGGCTCTTTTGGTGTCTACTCTTTTGGTAGCTATCTCGAGAAGAGAGTGGCAGAGCAGATGTTATGAAAACACAGAGCTGCATACCAGGAGGTGAAGAGAGAAGAGCATGAGGAAATGAAACAAAGTGCAGCCAGACCTCCTGGGACCAGTTACTTCCTAGCCAGTCTGTGCCTTCCCTGGGCATAGCCCATGGCCACTCTAATTCAGGCCAGAAGAGAAAAAGGTGTAAGAGGCAAAACATGGTCATTTAGGGCTTTGGGTAAAATGCACAGAACAAATGAAGCCCGAAGTAATTGTGCTGGACAAACATGCCTAACATGTCTGCAAACAGGGGACTCATTCATGTCAGAAAGCTCTGTTGGCACCACAGGATCTAGGCCAGAGTTTCTCAACCTTTTTTTCATTATCACTGCCCCCTACATTGCCACTCCAGCGAGCCTTTTTAGACTTTTTTTCCCCCTAATCACCACCACCACCCCTCCCATGAAATTTTAGTATCACAAATACACTGTCATTTGTTTATGTGCGATGGCCCTTTGGAGGACTACAAACCACTGTAATATCTGAGGGCTTTTGCCCCCCAAGAACCAAGTTTGACCCCTCAGTGGTAATGTCCCCTCCACAGAGAACACATGATTTACTCCACTGTCCCTAATATTTTTAGCTCCTTTCCCAGCCCCTCTCTTTTTCCTCAACTGGCCTTTTCATTTGTCATCCCCTCAAACTATGTTCCTCGCTCTACAATAATTAAATGTCATTAAGTAAATCACACATATGAAAGCAATTTTCAGACTGTAAAGACCTAAGAAAATGTTGGTTATTAGTAGTAGTAAAAAAAAATTGTACAAGTAACTCTGACTGCTGTCCTCCCCCACCCCTGCCCTCACCCCACTACCCCAAGGCTAGCAGTTGGGACGGTCATTGGCTCTGCTTTCCTGGCCAGTTTTCAAGCTGGCTTATTATGGTCCTGGTAGAACAATAAGGAAGCTAGTTTACTGTTTGCTTTTAAGTTAATGGCAGGAATTGATAAGTGCAGTAGGCGCATAGAACTACCCTTTGTAAAGAATGAGGTGCATTTCAGAGTTAGTTGTTGCTCCACTCTAAATCAATGTGGATTTAAATAGCTAACTACAGGTAATATAAAAATGCTGAAAGAAAAGGAAAAAGGAGCCCCTTTTTATGATGCATCATAAACTAAACTATGAGACCTCAACAGGTGGAACACACACATGTGCACACACAAAGCAATCTGGATGCAAATAAGCTTGAAAAAGCTGATCATATTAAATTTAACTGGGGTTTCTAAATGTAAGACCCTCAGAACCTCAAATGTTTTCATGTGCATATTAAGAAAGGAGTAGAGTGTACAGTGGTGCTTCCAAACTTATTTGACCAGGGAAGGTGTGGGGTTTTTTTTTTTCCTCAATATACCTGTTAAAACCTGTCAGGAGAGTATTTTAAGAAAGAGCAGTTTGGGAAATGCTGACCCAGCACTAGCTAACAACAAAAATTGAGATCCACGTTGCTTAGCAATCATAAACCTGGAGGGACCTCACACTCTGCTTTCTCCTTGCCTGCTCCCAAGCCCTGACACACGAGGGAAGCTTATTTCATGTGGAATTTATGGTCACCCACTTCGTTGGGTGAATCCCCTCAATCCTCACCTGCAACTCTTTCCCTCTCTCCACAGAACTTCCCATCTTCTAACCACCTTCCCGTCCTTCCCAGAGAAAAGTCAAGTCATCAGATGAAAACTTCTTGACTTCCCAATGCCAAATGACCAAACCCCCTTCACACCTGTCTACTCTGTCTATCGTGCTCCGGTGTAGATAGTGTCCCATCTTCCGTTGAAGGCCAGTCCCGCCGTCAGAGCTTTGCATTCTGTCCCCTCCCACCTTCTCAAGAATTGTTTTTATTATTCACTTCCTTTCTCCAAACCTCACTTCTCTTCAACTAAATCCTTCTCTTTGGCTTTTTAACTTATTCAATTCTCTCCCATCTTTAAGAAACCCTCTCATTCCCATATCCTTATTCAACTACCTGCCTGTCCCTCCCCACTTTCACAGCTGGACCGCTCTAAAGAGTCATCTGTATAAATGCTTAGTTTACACAAAATATGAAAAAAAAAAAAAGAGTCATGTGCATTCATTGGCTGTGTCTTCTCACCTTCCTCTTCCTCCTCCACCCACTCCAATCCGGATTTCACCCCCATCTCTCCAGTGAACCAGCTCTGGCTAACAACAAAAATTGACTTTATGTTGCTCACTCATTCCGACAAACATTCCCAGTTCTCACTTTGCCTGAACTCTCAGCAGCAATTGACCAACAATTATGGAAAACTTTCTCCTTGAAACACTGTATCCTGGTTTCCCTCCCATT